AATAAATAGCTGTAAAAATGTTAATTCATTTAATTCTAGAGATAGAATACTCAATATAAAACCTGATTGACTCAGAGTTGAAAACGCAATAATTTTTTCCAAAATCTATCTCAATATTTGCAGATTTCCATTTCTAGCCCCGCGAAACCTCCCTTGGACGATTTTAATACTCTCCCAGCGTTTCTCTCGACATCGGGATGAAATTCACTCGAGGCAAGGCCAAAAGGAATCAATTTGTCGATCTTACCTGTTGCAACAATATTCTATTCACTTTCGGCAGATCGGCGATGTATCCGAAGAGAAGTCGACCGATACCGGAAGTGATGCCGATGCACATGATCGGTAGCTTCCCGTCAGAATCCTTGAACACCGTCTCGACAAATTTCCCTATGTGAACGTACGGGACGAAATACCTGAAAGGGACGTTTCCATTGCTCACAGACTCACTCGTGTCACTTAATACTCGTCACTTTATCCGCTTTCACCAGCAGTGTTATTAAAAAGAACGAAAGAAAGAAACAGACAGAAGAGAGAATTCTAATATAATAGTATTCCAACTTTAGGCTTTCCAATTTTAATTATATATTATATTAGGTTTCGCTACATGCTAAATATAACAACAGCGTTTTGACAAAAACGGTGTTCGGTTAACACGTTCCGTGCCATGTGTACCACCGGTGGTACACGTTAAACTTGATCGTCAGGCCGCGGTGTACCACCGGTGGTACACGCAGTCATATTTATTTAATTTATTTATTTTTTTGCAATCGAACTGATCGCAGCGCCACGGTGTACCACCGGTGGTACACGCAGTCATATTTATTTAATTTATTTATTTTTTTGCAATCGAACTGATCGCAGCGCCACGTGTACCACCGGCGGTACACGCAGTCATATTTATTTAATTTATTTATTTCTTTGCAATCGAACTGATCGCAGCGCCACGGAACTACTATCGATTGACATGTAATGAAAGATTGTGTGATAATATATCAACCTTTAGTCAAAATATCAAAATGGCCTGAACGACAACAAAAGGCAAAAATCGCTTGGCACGGAACGTGTTAATCTAACCTAAATCTAATCTAAATCTAACCTAACCTAAATCTAACCTAATATCTACGATACTCGCAAAATCTATAGTAATAATATAATTTAATTATATAATTATATAACAATATAATTTACCTAATATTATACTTAACTTAACCTAATACTATAACTTAGGTTAACATACGTTCCGTGCCATGTGTACCACCGGTGGTACACGTTAAACTTGATCTTCAGGCCATATTTCTAATAATATTACCACAAGTGGTACACGATGTGATAGCTACTCTAGAAAACAAGAGAACTACTTGCCACAAGTGGTAGACGATGTGATAGCTACTCTAAACAAGAGAACTACTTATATTGATGATGTAATGAAAGATTGTGTGATAATATATCAATCTTTAGTCAAAATGGCCTGAACGACAACAAAAGGCAAAAATCGCTTGGCACGGAACGTGTTAATCTAACCTAAATCTAATCTAAATCTAACCTAACCTAAATCTAACCTAATATCTACGATACTCGCAAAATCTATAGTAATAATATAATTTAATTATATAATTATATAACAATATAATTTACCTAATATTATACTTAACTTAACCTAATACTATAACTTAGGTTAACATGTTCCGTGCCATGTGTACCACCGAGTATACACGTTAAACTTGATCTTCAGGCCACGTGTACCACCATATTTCTAATAATATTACCACATGTGATAGCTAAACAAGAAAACTACTTATCGTTGATGATGTAATGAAAGATTGTGTGATAATATATCAACCTTTAGTGAAAATGTCAAATGGCCTGAACGACAACAAAAGGCAAAAATCGCTTGGCACGGAACGTGTTAATCTAACCTAAATCTAATCTAAATCTAACCTAACCTAAATCTAACCTAATATCTACGATACTCGCAAAATCTATAGTAATAATATAATTTAATTATATAATTATATAACAATATAATTTACCTAATATTATACTTAACTTAACCTAATACTATAACTTAGGTTAACATGTTCCGTGCCATGTGTACCACCGATGGTACACGTGTAACTTGATCTTCAGGCCGCGGTGTACCACCGGTGGTACACGCAGTCATATTTATTTAATTTATTTATTTTCTTTGCAATCGAACTGATCGCAGCGCCACGTGTACCACCGGTGGTACACGATGTGATAGCTACTCTAAACAAGAGAACTACTTATCGATTGATGTAATGGTGGATAATGAAAGATTGTGTGATAATATATCAACCTTTAGTCAAAATATCAAAATGGCCTGAACGACAACAAAAGGCAAAAATCGCTTGGCACGGAACGTGTTAATCTAACCTAAATCTAATCTAAATCTAACCTAACCTAAATCTAACCTAATATCTACGATACTCGCAAAATCTATAGTAATAATATAATTTAATTATATAATTATATAACAATATAATTTACCTAATATTATACTTAACTTAACCTAATACTATAACTTAGGTTAACACGTTCCGTGCCATGTGTACCACCGATGGTACACGTTAAACTTGATCTTTAGGCCACGTGTACCACCATATTTCTAATATTAATAATATTACCACAAGTGGTAGACGATGTGATAGCTACTCTAAAGAAGAGAACTATTATTATTGATATGTAATGAAAGATTGTGTGATAATATATCAACCTTTAGTCAAAATATCAAAATGGCCTGAACGACAACAAAAGGCAAAAATCGCTTGGCACGGAACGTGTTAATCTAACCTAAATCTAATCTAAATCTAACCTAACCTAAATCTAACCTAATATCTACGATACTCGCAAAATCTATAGTAATAATATAATTTAATTATATAATTATATAACAATATAATTTACCTAATATTATACTTAACTTAACCTAATACTATAACTTAGGTTAACATACGTTCCGTGCCATGTGTACCACCGGTGGTACATTAAAAACTTGATCTTCAGGCCACATGTACCAGCATATTTCTAATAATATTACCACTATTAAGTGGTACACAATGTGATAGCTACTCTAAACAAGAGAACTACTTATCGTTGATGATGTAATGAAAGATTGTGTGATAATATATCAATCTTTAGTCAAAATGGCCTGAACGACAACAAAAGGCAAAAATCGCTTGGCACGGAACGTGTTAATCTAACCTAAATCTAATCTAAATCTAACCTAACCTAAATCTAACCTAATATCTACGATACTCGCAAAATCTATAGTAATAATATAATTTAATTATATAATTATATAACAATATAATTTACCTAATATTATACTTAACTTAACCTAATACTATAACTTAGGTTAACATACGTTCTGTGCCATGTGTACCACCGGTGGTACACGTTAAACTTGATCTTCAGGCCACGTGCACGTTCCGTGCCATGTGTACCACCGGTAATACACGTTACACTTGATCTTCAGGCCACGTGTACCACCATATTTCTAATAATATTACCACAAGTAGTACACGATGTGATAGCTACTCTAAACAAGAGGACTACTTATCGATTGTAATGAAAGATTGTGTGATAATATATCAACCTTTAGTCAAAATATCAAATGAACTAGCAACGATCGAACCAATGGCTTGCAAATTGGAGAGACACTGGAGAGTTTCGTTAGAGTTCCGTTTAAGCGGAAACGGAAACGCCACTGACGTATATCCGTGCTCATCTCGTCATTTCTCGAAATGCAATTAACCGTACTTTTTAACGTGGCCTCGCACCAATGCACGCTTTTTATTAGCATATTAGCCGATAGAAGTATCATCACGAGTATCAAACGCACGTCAACGAGCAAGCAACTAAACGCGAGGCATCCTTCGTGATTTCAATTCGAAACTGATGCCACGAGTACACGCCACAGTTTGAATTGAAATTTCAATCGAACGTCGTACCAGAGGGCATTCACAGTCGAGGTCGTTCGTCTTGCAGCTCGCCAGCAGTCGGATCCTCCAGGATACCTGCCACCGTACAGCACTCAGAGACCACCGGAAAGGCCTCGACCTTTTCAACCGCCGTCGACGACCGTCGGTTTCCCGTCCGGTCCGACAACCGTGCAATCACCGCCGTTCTCCACCCAGAGACAAACCTACCTTCCACCGAGCAACCAACCATCCTCTTACAATCCTCGCCCCACCACGACACCATCCTACGGCACTTCCGCTTTTCCACCCTACAGCTCGACACCCTCTACCGCTCGAACACCTGGATACTCTACGGCCAGTGGAATCTCCACCAGCTACGGTTACTCCGCGTCAGAGTACACCACCGCCGGACCCACGAAATTCTCTACACCGACTGGTTTCTCCACCGGTTATCCCAGTCAAAGGCCTGGCCCTAGCTACGTTCCATCCGCGGAAGGAAGCTCCTTCGACACCGGTGTCGCTGGATACCCTTCCTCACCGGGCTACCCATCCTCCCCCACTCCTGGCGGAGCGTTTCCTCCTCAAATCAGCACCGGAACCAGCGGCACCAGCGTCGTCAGCCCTCCCGGCACTTCTCCCGGCGAAGGTACTCTTGCTACTCTTTTCCATTTCTCGCTTCTTCGATAAAGAAGAAGTCCAGTCGTCTACTGCCAGCTACTTTTCTTCGTTGTTGACAGAGACGACCGGCGAAGGCGACGAGAGCAAGCATCCGCCGCATATCCACGCTCTCGACGTCGTGTGCAGCAAGACTATGATGACTATCAACATCGAGTTCAATCGCGCCTTCGACGGGGTTATTTACTCAAAGGTGAATTTTTTTTGCTCTTTAAATGGAAATTAAAGTTCGCCAGCCGGGAACTCATCCGTCTGCCGATACTTTACGTCTGTCCAGGGATACTTTATGAACCCAGAGTGTAGATACGTGGAGCAAAATTCCGGACAGACTCGGTACTCGTTCACGGTGAATCTGGACTCGTGCGGGACGCAATTTATCAACGATTTCGCGGGTGAAGCCGGCCAGGCGTACTTGGAGAACGTGCTCGTTCTACAGGTAAGTTAGTTACATCGCGCCAACAGGCAGCAAGTGTCACCGATTTTCATCATCGAGTTCAATTTATATTTCGTTCTTCTTTCGCTTCTTGCAGAACGAGCCAGGTATACAGGAAGTTTGGGACACGGTGCGCCGAGTTCGCTGCCTCTGGGAAGGGAACATCAACAAAGCGTTGACGGTCAACTTCTCGGTGGACATGTTGAACCAAGAAATAGTGACGTTCAGCGGTGACACGGCGACTGCCAGGTTGGACATACAAGTGGGAAGAGGACCGTTCGCGCCTGCTGCCGATGGCCTCGTTAAGATCGGAGAGACAATGACTTTGGTCGTTACCGTCGAGGGAGATCCTGGCTTCGATCTTCAGGTACGTCTCCGATCGATCGCAATTTTTCGCCACTTTTGTCTCTTCCCTCAACTCTTCAGGTTCGCGATTGTCTCGCTCGCGACGAATCCTCCGCCAACACGATACAACTGACCGACGAGAGGGGATGCATACTGAAACCAAAGCTATTCGGCGCGTTCCAAAAGACGAACGACACCGGGAATACAGGGGCGTCGATTATCGCTTACGCGTATTTCCAAGCTTTCAAATTCCCCGACGTGATGGACCTGTTCATCGAGTGCAACGTGGAACTATGCAAAACCGACTGCGAGCCATGCCCCGATGCCAATCAGGTAGGTAATGACAGACTGTTTCATTTTATTTTTCACTTGACAAGTGTGTTGCCACTTGCATTTTTCCAGCAAATCGAACCGGGCAGACGACGCCGATCGATCGACACGTACGCGACGAACGCGACGATGGCGAACGGCTCGCCGGTGTTGCTCTCCGATCCGATACGCGTCGCTCGTCGCTTCAAAGTGATCATGGTGGACGACCTGAGCAAAGCCAGCAACCAAATCTTGCAACAGCTCGAGGAAACCGCCGTCGAAGAGGTCGCGATGAACGTTTGCATGACGCACAGTGGCTTCTACACCGCTATCTCGTTCTTCTTAACCACCATCCTTGTCACTACCGTCAGTGCGGTTACGCTTTACGTCAAGTTGCAACGAGTGTACGCATCGAAATTCACCTATTCGTAGACATTCTACTCATCTAGCTCGCGTGACCGGTCAATCGGTCGCGATCAATTCGCGTCTTTTGTCAATCTTTCGTATTACACTGCTTTTCCATCGTTCGTCATACGTAGAGAACAACAAGTCACGAACGAAAGCAAATGAGAATCGATGACGCGAAGAACGATCTATCGTTACTTGCCGATTGCGTCTTTTCGCTGGCGTATCGATAATGCTAACTGCACGCCATATTTCTTGCGTTGTTAATTGCGTTGCGCTTCAACAGATCGCATTCGAACAGTCACGAATATGTAGCAATAACAATAGCAATAACATGTACGTGTATATTTCTCGTCCCCTCCCCCCCAGTCGTTTCCCTTCGCATCATCGGGGATCGGACAGGTTCGATCGTTGACGAGTACAACATATTTTACAGATTAA